TGGTCAGTGCACATCGTAAGTGAGTAGTTGAGTGGCCTTAGCATATTACCCTTTGATTGTTGAATGGATAACTGGATGACTGGACACTTAGCATATTAGGCTTTTATTATATAGGATGAGACCTTTGCCCATTTACCTTTGTAAGGTTACAGGGTCCAGAGTTTTTAAGGGTGAATTGTTACTATAGACAGTCAGTAGAGCACCCAAAGTCTCCCTCATTGGCCAAGATGGCTTTGGGGGAGGTTCTTACACAGAGTATGCCAAAAGCTAGAAATATGAATAGATAAGGCCTGAACTCACCAAAAGCTAGAAAGATGAATGGACAGGACCCAAACACACCCAAAGCTAGCAAGATAATTGGATAGGAAAAACAAAAACAAAAAAACCCTTCCCCTCCCTGTCCCTATAAGAACCACAGGTTTGAATAGAAAAAAGAGGTGGTCTTTGAGATGAAGAGAGATGGTCTTGAGACAAAGAGAGATGGTCTTTGAGATAGGAGCCCACCATTCTCCCAGGTCACATGGCACCTGAATGAAACTTCTTTCCTTTTGCCCCAGCACCTGCCTCATGAGTTTGGCTTTTGTTGCAGCAGGCAGCCAAACATCCATTTTTTGTTCAGTTATAACTTCACTCAAAATATCTTAGCCTTCCTGTGTTTTTCCACTGAGTCAAGATGGGAGGTTTCTGTTCATTGTGGAAAGAGACTGTTTTCTATCAGTGGCCTTGTTTCAATTCTTATCTTTCATTATTAAAATAATTATTAATAGAGTTAAATACTTAGCCCAATGCTTGCACACAGTAGGTGTTAAAAAATGTTAGTTTTCTTTCACTTAGTTCCTGTTTCCTCTTTGCTCACCTATAAGCCATTTCTCTGCCAATACTATTCACCCACCCCACCTTTTTTTTTTATAGCACTTTAGTATATTTCTTTCAAATGTTTCTATGCTTTGAAAAACAAGGTTTGTACTTTTTTCACTTGACTTTTTAATGTGAGCATTTTCCTGTTAATATTATTAACTGTGATTTTTGAGGACTGCTACACATTCCATCTTACTAAGCTTTACTTGGTCATTTTTTCCATAGCAGGCATGTAGGTGCTCATGTGTTTACAAATAAGTCTTTGCTCATATTGCTGACTATTTTCACTAGGCTTCTAGAAGTGGGATTACAATGGTAAAGATTTTAAGAGGAATAAAAAAGCCAATTTCACATTAAGGATTGGAAGTGATACTGCTGTTTGTTCACCAGCACAGTACTAACATTTCAAGTCCCACTGATATTATTATTATTACATTCATCTTTTATATTTTGTATTAGCATCATCGTCATCTAACTCTTTATAGTGTTACACACTGTTCAAAGAGAACTATGTAGGTTTGATCTCTGCATTGTAAAAATTTATAATCCAGCCCTGGCTTGTGAGACTCAGTTGTTTGGGCATTGTCCATGCACTGGAAGGTCACCGGTTCAAACCCCAGTCAGGGCACATGCCCGGTTTGTGGGCTCGATCCCTGGTGGGGACATGCAGGAGGCAGCCAATTGATGTTTCTCTCTCACACCAATGTTTCTCTCTCCCCTTCTCCATTCCTCTCGCTCTAAAAATCAATGAAAATATTTATTAAAATTTATAGTCCAAGAAAGATATATTGATGCAGGCAGTCTAGGGCAATCACAGTGAAAGGAGTAGGACCCAAGTACATATGTTACATGGACTGAGGACACCATCTCCGACACCCAGCTTTCACCTGGGCCAAATGTAAAGAATAACTGTTCATTTCCTCTGAAGGTCTCTTTGTAACCTATGTTCTCCTCTCTTCAGTACATAATAACAAATGCCTGCTGTCAGAAAGCTACTGTAACCACTACAGGCTTGGTTCTTTAACTTCTTCCCCTCTTTCCATCTTGACCCACCTTTTCCATGTTATTCAGGTCCCCAACTAACCCTACCTGTATTGAGCGGGGGTGGTGGGTGGCACTGGTTTAAAGAGCTTACTGGATCGCCTGTAGCTAGTCAGCCTAGAGTTGTGTTTGAAAACCATGGGACCTGTCCATGACTGTCAGACCTCCCAAACACCATCTGCTGCTCGTCTGTCATCATCATCTTCAGGGACTGTGCTTGTCTGGCTGGGCCTCCTCCTCCCTCCCTCCACCGCAGCTGTCCCAGGAGTGCCCCCCTCCCTGACACCAAAAGAGAGCCCATCTAGATTCCAGGAACAAATCAATCCTTGTCTGTGTCATTCCCACCGATGATAAAAATAACATTAATAGCAACAACAAACACTGAGTGAGTGCCTACCATTATTCTTTTAATTGTTGGTCCTTCCATTCCTGACCATGATGAGACATGCCGTAATTTACTCCTGAAGAGAGATGATGACACATGTGGACAAATATATTAGCACATTATCACTGGCATCAAAATGAATTTCCCCTGTTTACCCAGACAGGCCTAAGGGAGAGGGGAAAGCAGAAAACGTGCCTGTCAACGCTTTGTGCCCAGTCCAGGAATGGTGCTTGACCTGCTTCATCCAGCGAGCCAGCCACAAAGACGGAGGTCGTCAGAAGCCAAGGTGTTGTCAATAAGAATATTCACCAAAATAAAGAAAATAAAGACTTCATTGCTGGGCAGATTCTTTTCCTGTGTAGTATCTAATACCTTTACCTAGTTTTTTGTTCTTCATGAGTCTGATCTGTATTTGTTTTGCTGTGTTTCAGCTACACAGGTAGTAGGAGTAAATTAGAAAGAACTTTTTATAGATTTTTTTTCTATATTGGATTCATGCTAAAGTGAATGGTTTGGTGGGTTTTATTATTATTATGATGATGTGGGTATGCAGTCATCCATTTTAGCTCTCTTACCACTGACTACCTGAGAGTCAATATCCATCCACCCAGGAGGAGTTACAAAATATGGCATGTGGTTGGTGAACAATGCTAATGCAACTTATTTTACTGTTTACTCTCTCATCTTGGAGTAATCAGCTAACAAAACAAAAAATTATAGAATGGTGCTTATAAATATTCTGTTTGTAAGGCGTCTGTCCCATCCATATTAGATTTAAATTTATTTTCAAATTTATTTTACTAATTATACTTTCTGTGTATAAATCACATAACCATGTCCTTTGCTCATTTATCCATTGGGGTATTGGTAGTATTCATAAATATGTTCAAATAAATTTTCATATGCTTGGAGATAACTAATTTTCATTTGTGGTGAATATTCTTTTGTTTTTATTGTTAGTTATTTTTATTGCTTAGAAGTTAAAATATTTTTGTAACTATATTTGACCATTTTATTTCATTTCTTATTTCTCCTTTTGCTTCAATTATAAAAAAACTAGAGGCCCAGTGCACGCAGCTGGCAGCAGCCGGCTGTGGCCTCCCTCCCTTCCCCCAGCCGGCCCCGCCCCCTGGTCGAACTCCTGGAAGAATTCCCTGTCCAGGGGACAATTTGCATACTCTGCTTTTATTATATAGGATTATCACTTTAAAGTGTACTAAAACCCCTATTTTTCCCTCAGGGTTCCATTCCCCACCACCCTTGAGATCTACTGACATTCTCTGGGCCTCAGAGCCCGGGCCCCATAAATTTTTAATTCATTATTTTCACAAAGGTTGAATACTTGTATTATGACTTCAATTGAGCAGTAAACTGCAGAGTGCATTGTTCATCTGTTTGTCCTAAATTTAGAACTATTTCCCATGTTTTTTGATATCTAAGAGGTCTATGGCTTACTCCATTCATATTTAACTTGCTACTCAGATTCACTCATTCACTCACTAATTCATTTGTTCATTCATTCACAGATTCATTAATATATTTATTTATTACATTGATACACAGACTAAATGGTATCCCCCAATGGACCCTGCTTCCTGGTGTTTATCCTTAAGTGTGGGTAGGACCTGTGGTGACTTGCTTCCAATCAATAGAATGTAATAAAAGTCATATGTTCCTCTTATGATTATGTTACATAATAGAGGACTCTGTCTTACTAGAATATTCATCCTAAAGACTATTCTTGTTGCTTGATGAAGTAAGCGGTCATGGTGAGGAACTGTGAGCAGCCTCCAGCCAACAGCCATGAGGAAGCTGGAATTCTTGGTCTTAAAGCTTCAAGGAAATAAATTCAAGAATTTGAGGGAGCTTGGAAGGGGTTTCTTCCCCATTTGAGCCTCCAGATGAGAACACAGTCCAGCTGACACCTTGATTGCAGTCTTGTGAAACTCTAAGTAGTGGGACCATCTAACTAACCCATGCCCTCACCTGCAGAAATTGTGAGATAATAAATGGGTGTCATTTTTAGCTACTAAATATGTGGTAATTTGTTATGCAGCAATAGAAAATAAATACACTATATTATGCTAAATACCATATATACATTCTCTCAGTGCTTGAAGACCATGAGCCTTATACTAATCTTATTCCCATTTTACAGATGAAGAAACTGAGGCTCAGGAATTTAACTGCAGAATATTCTTCTCTCAACGACTGTACTGTCATGGCATATTTCATTTAAAAAGTAGATGCTCTCATAAATTCAACATTATAAGAAACTTTAAAAAACTCCTTTGAGCTGTATTTTACCATGTCTCACAGAAATAATATTAGATTCATAAATAGGAAAGTTTCTCTTTTGTGTTAAAATAGTGGTAGACTTTGAACTATTTACAAGGGAGAACAATTATGGATGGTACAAACCCCCAATTCCTGAAAATTGATCTGGAATTAGAACACTCAAGTCAACTAGATTAGAATGTGCTGGGTCTTGGGTTCTGTCTTTAACTTTGCTGCAAGACTAAAGCATTCTATTGCATGTCCTAATTTCCCATTTCTTATTAGGTATAAGGAAAAATTAAGAAGTGGAGATATTTTAAAATGCTCTTCATTTTAACAGCTAAAGTCCTATTTGATTCAGTGTTCTGCGGAGCTGAGGTGGGATTGTAACCCCACTATTGTCTTCTAATGAGAGTTCTTTCTACGCTGAATTTATCAGATGTTAATTATCCATACTGCATGTTTGAGGATTTTGGAGTGAGAGACTTACCTGCAATATTTGGAATACCAGTGGAGGTCTACACTAAGACAGATTTTATACAGCAGCTGGTGCTAGTCAAAGCTAATGATGGAATTTCAGTTTAATGAAAAGACCCCCAACTGAGCACACCATCTTGAAAAAAGTATACTTATTGAATAGCTTTCAATCAGTTCAAGAGAGACGCCCTAATGGGGAAGAGGGAGCTTTGCAGAGCAGTTTGTCACCGTGCCAATTCCAGATCAATAACTGCACATCTGCTTTTTGGTAGACATAGCTTTTGCTTTTTTCCCCCCTTTATATTGAATTTTTTGGGGACATTGGTTAACAATATTATACAGGTTTCAGGTGCACAATTCTACAACACATCATCTGTACACTGACCGTATTGTGTGTTCACCACCCCAAGTCAAATCTCTGTCCAGCACCATTTATTCCTCCTATACCTTCCTCTACCTCCCTTCCCCCTTCCCCAGCAATCACATCTACATCCTCTCCATTTGGAAAAGGAAGCTTTGTTTCATTTGACAATGTTAAATGATATCTTCTTTTAGTTTACCTTTGTTTATTCATAATAAACACAAGCAAAATTAGGACTTGTGATTATAAAGGTCAATATTATTTTTTTAATTTTAAATAATTTTTTTATTTTTGCAAGGGGAAAGCAGTGCTTATGAAATTTTTATATTTCCAAAATTTTTTTTGGTTAAAAGAAAGTTATATGTGTAAAATTAAACTATGGTGGTTTAACTATAAGAATATGCAGAGCAATGATGACATGGATTCATATAAAGTTATTTTGGAGAAGTCTATACAGAGTCATCCACTAACAAGAAACAAAAAAAAAAGGGTTTACTTTTGGAAGGAAGGATTTGGAAAACTAAAGAATAATGTGACTCAGTCATCAAATCTTAGTTTCCTTATTTGTTAAAGGGAGATGTTCATTCAAACTGGAGGCTTTCACACTATTTGTAGACAACTGTCTTCAGTGATAAGAGAGGGCAATATGCATTAGGCAGGGAGGGTGGTAGACCAGGAGCCCAATGTTAAGTTCAAGGCAAAATTTGAGAGGGCCTTTCTCACTTCAACTAGGGCATAGCTTTCCTTTCCTTTCTATCTCTTTTTCCTTTTCTTTTTCTCTCTGTTTCCTTCCTTCTTTCTTTACTTCCTTTCTTCCCTCCCTCCTTTCTTTCTTTCTTTCTTTCTTTCTTTCTTTCTTTCTTTCTTTCTTTCTTTCTTTCTTTCTTTCTTTCTTTCTTTCTCTTTCTTCCTTCCTTCCTTCCTTCCTTCCTTCCTTCCTTCCTTCCTTCCTTCCTTCCTTCCTTCCTTCCTTCTTCTTTTCTTCCTTCTTCTCTCCCTCCGTTCTCTCTCTTCATCTCCCTTCCTTCTTTCCTCCCTTCCTTCGAGAATCTATATCTATTTATATAGAGAAAAATTAACATATAAAAGTACTGGGTTTCTGTATAAGATTTCTGTTTATAAAACAGGGCTCTACTGCTAAAATATAGTCTGAGAATCACTAGACTAGACAATTGTAAGTCCTCTTTCTTCTATGAAATCTCTCCTTCTAGTAATTCTTTAATTACTGCTAGGATTTCAAGCTCCGGGAACAAAATAATAGAGGAAATTAAAAATGTTTTAGAATACACCACAAATATCTATCTTCATTAATTGTAGTTCTGCTAAGAGGCAAAGCCATGGATGAAATGGGCTTTTGTTTTGTTCAGAGTAACTATACAGGACAGAGCCATGCTCACTCAGGCACTTAATCCACTAGATGATGTTTGAACAGACTGACAGAATTTTGGCCTAATTTTAAAAACCAAAGCCTCTGGCATTTAGAGAATCACATACTATAAGAGTCAGTGGGATACTTTAAAATAATTTTCCTCATTTTATATGTTTATTCATCCATTAAATCAATACATTGTTACTGAATTTGAGTGTTTCAGCTACTATGGTAGGTGTTGGGGTTATAGTATATTGTCCCTAACCATATAGAGATTACGTTTTAGTGGAAGAGATAGCAATTAAATAATCATACACATAAGCATATAATTACAAATTTTTATAAGTGCTATTAAGTAAACCAACAGGGTTCTCTGAGATCATATGTTAGAGCAACATGATAACACTAGGCTGCAGAGAGTGCAAATGACTTGCCTCAAGTCACTTCGCCATGCACTGCAGAGCTGGCACTACAGTCACTCACATGTTCTCTCTGTCTGACCGGGTTGGCTGTGGCAGTTGAGGCCAACAGTACAGGCTGAGTGATGGAAATCAGAAATCTATGAGATCCTTTCCTGGCTTCCCCACTACTTTGAAAATGTTGGGCAGCCTTGAGGGGCACCTAAAAATCAGCATTACGAATGGAAGCTTCAAATTTTATTTTTATCTTTTATTTTTTAAATTTATTTTTTATTTTAAATTTGTTATTGTTTAAAATATTATATATGTCTCCTTTTCCCCCCATTGACCTCTCCCAGGCTACTCCCATCCCCCAGCACATGCCCTCACCCCCCTACTGTCTGTGTCCATTGGTTATGCTTATATGTATGCATACAAGTCCTTTGGTTGATCTCTTACTCCACCCCCATCCTCCCCTGCCTAGTAGCTAAAGCAAGACTACTAACTATTAAAACTTCAGATTTCAACCAGGTTCAACAGCTTCTTCAATCTACTTTGTTGTGAGACGAGTGGTTTTCATTCTATAGAAGGTCCAGTCCAAAACACACATCAATTTCCATTATAAACCTTTGCCCAATAGGTTTGCCAGACCTATCAATTATGGGGTGGGGAACGTCCGTATAAGGCCCTCTAATTCCTCTGGTCTGGTCCTGCCAAGGATTAGGGATGAGTTAATTAAATGTTTGAGCAAATATAGCAGGCTAATTTTTAAGTTGATAATTTTGTATGGCCCTCGAATGATGTTAGAAATATCTAAATGGCCCTTGGCAGAAAAAAGTTTCCCCACCCCTGAATTACAAGAAAACCCAAGTTAAACCATCATTATTTAATTTTTTTTTGTTAGTCCTCACCCAAGGATATTTTTTGAGAAAGTGAAAGGGATTGGAGAGGAGGGGAAGAGAAAGAGAGAGAGAGAGAGAGAGAGAGAGAGAGAGAGAGAGAGAGAGGTTGTTTGCCTCCTAAATGTGCCCTGACAGAAACTGGGGATCAAACCTGCAACCCAGTTATGTGCCTTTAACTGGGAATCGAACCTAAGGCTCTAACCACCATCATTATTATAATTATCAACTAATAGCAACTATAATGAATCCTTTTTTCTGTTTGGAGATGAGACTATTGGGATGGTTTTCAGCTCATTCGGATAGCAAAGAGTTTGAGATTACTTTTTCTGGAAAGAACCTAATGAGTAGGATTGGGGTGGGTATGGTTGAAGGCAGATTCATATACTTTCAAGATCCAAAATTGAGAAGCTTGCCTGTCTACATGGATGCCATCTACCTCTGGGAAGCACCTGCTGTCAGATGACAATAGTTTAAGTCCTTCCTAGTGTTTGGTGGGATAAGTGGTTCATAGGCCTCAATCTAAAGTCTAAAGCTTTGTCAAGTGCATTAATTTGGAATGTTTCATTTGTTTTTATATGATCAGATTTGCATTTTCATTATGTTTAGAAATTGTTTGAACATATATACTATATATAAATCTTTGCATTAATGAGTAAATGGGATTATTATGTTGGAGTTATTAGTGCAGACTATATTTTTTTCCTCTAGCAAACCTCCTCCCTCCACAGCTTCTTTCCCCACCACATCCCATGCTATCAAACTGGCTTGTATCTTTCCATATTTTAAATCCATGCTCATATAATTCTATCTATGATAATAAAAGCATAATATGCTAATTAGACTGGACGTCCTTCCAGACAACCATCTGGATGTGCCGGGGCTGCGAGGGAAGCCTGGGTCCCAGGTGCCTGCCAGCGGCTGAGGGAAGCCCGGGTCCTGGGTGCCAAAGGGAAGCCAGTGCCAGCAGCCGGGGGAAGGAAGGCCTACTCTTGCATGAATTTCATGCATCAGGCCCCTAGTGTAAGTATAAATATGTACATGAAAGTATATATATATATATATTCTAATAAAAGACAAAAAGGGTAATTGACCTACCTTCGCTACGCTTTCCATTGGCTAATCAGGGTGCAAATTAACTGCCAACAAAGATGGCGGTTAACCGTCAACAAAGATGGCGGTTAATTTGCATACATGGGTGCAATGATGGGAGGCGAAAGGGGAAGGACGGAAGAACAGTGATCAGAAACCCAGGCAGCAGGCAAGAACCGCCTTTGCCGGCCCCCCAGCCAGTGATCACCATCGGAAAGCCTGGCCTGCGCCCCGTGGTCGCCATGGCGATCGGAGGGAGAGAGGGCCACATGGCGATAGGAGAGCCAGGGCGCAGGGGAGGCGGCACCCTGGCACCCCAGCACCTGACATGCAAAGGTCGGGGATGAAATGACTTTTCCCAACCACATCTACAAATATCCTGGGGAAGGCATCACTGAAGAGTTCACAACAACTCTCTTACTTGGCAAGGAAGAAAAAAGTTGGCAACGGAAACAATCCCTTACATCAAAGTTAAGGTCCCTCTGAGTAAAAAGGAATATTTCCAACATAAAGGAGGGAGCAGGCAAAAATAATAGGTTCTCATGACTTCTGCTGAAGTTTGAGCATATGACAGTGTCAAAAAGAACATACAAATTAAAACAGACAGTGGACATTCAAATGACCCGAATCAACTGTCACTGTTTGTCCCAATAGCAGCAATGCTTATGTGATCATATAGTTTAACAAACATACAAAACAAGTCACATGATAAGAGAGGTTCTGCTTCTAAAGTAAATTGAATATGTTCTTTAAAAGTTCTCATGTCCTCCCCTCTGACTATAATTCTTAATTTTCCAATCAGAAAATTACCCCAGGTGATCCAGTAACATGTAGAACTCCAGTAACCTAACTTATTTTAAAAAAAAACATCCCAACCATTTTTAAAATATTTAAGTTGATATTTTAGGGTTAAAATTATAGAAGATATTTAGATCCAAATATATTTTCAGGATAGAAAATATTTCAGTTT